TAAGTTTACCCTACGTTATCATTGTTTAGGTCGGGGCGATATGCGAGGCAGGTTTCAAGGCTATATTTTCACGAATGTGAAGAGGAGATATGTAGAACGCGCGCCAAGTTGGGGAAGTAGTTCGTGCGCACCCTCAGCACCGAGGAACGTCAATGAGATTTTATGAAATATTTGTATATGCTGTTTTCTTTTATTCTCCATCGACGGAGAGAATGCCAGGGAATTGTCAGAACGCATGCTGTAGGTAGACTGGAAGCGGATAAATTAGTCATTATTTAATCCAAATTTCGGAAGGTGGGGGGAGGGGGGCTCATGTATATTATTTGTTCATGTGTCAAAATCACCTACTTCACTTTCTAAAAATAGTATACATAACTTCGTGTTCGTGTACTCCATGTATATTCTGTGTATTAATTTTATGACCAAAGCAGTTAGCTTTGACAATTTTAAAAAGGAGCAGTTTTCTGTGGTCATCAGTGGGATACAAAACGGCCTGCAAATCCATTCATCTCATTCTGATAATAAAAATATTGCATTAGATTTTGGGAAGCGCACAGAAATAACGATGTTAGAGTGGTGAGTTTATCTTTGGTTCTTAATGTTATCAGTAATCAGCGTTACTTGAGAACAGTTTTTGAAACATTCCCTCGCAACTGCGGAATGGCATCATGCCCAGTGACGCCGAAGCGTTTTGTAACTCTCTCTTCAATATTAACGTTATCTACATGTTCATGGTACCCTATGCCCCCCCCCCCCCCCAACTCGGTCCTCGCCTAGTGGCTGAAAATTTCTGATCCTTTGGTAAGAACTTTATTAGTGTTGAGCATGTTTAGCAACTGAAATTAGCAAAGAATCACTGTCATTAAGTAAAAAGGGACATGCGAAGCTGATGAATTTAACAATAGCTGAGAAAAAATTTAAGTTACTACGACGGATTTTCTAATCAAAGATTTTTTGTTCGAAGTATTTTCAATGATATTGCCGTACACATGGAAAGTCTGACGTCTAGTCGGGCAAACTTGTATATGCTGTGCGCAGTCGCTTTTGCCATTGCTAAAAACTGGCCACAAAAAGGACGCTTCGAGTAAGTGGACCCTTGGGCGATCCGTGTCACATAGGGTGGCATTCGAATGATGTGTCACTGTCATTGGACTCTTGATTAGAAGTCGAGTGGTCTGCAGCTGGTCCTCGCGTAAAATCAAAATGAAAATGTCGACGCTCAGACAGAGAGCGTTACGACTATTTACATCACAGGCGCCCGCCATGCCTGCGTTATCTTTGTCCGACTTTAGAGAGATATACTATGGCTGCTGAATAGGGAAATTCTGACATTTATATGTTTTTTTTTTTTTTTTTTTTTTTTTTGAAGGGGTGTCAATGTTTTTACTGCTAATGTTAGATAAGACGCTTTAGTGTTGTTATGAAAACCAAAACCGGTATGTCTTATGGCAATATCGCAACAGATGCATTTGCCAGTTAGTTTTTCCTTGTAGTAGTAGATAAATAAACGAAAGTGTTTGTTTCGATTCGGCAGACAAAATACAGCAAGTGAAGGAGATTTGAAAACTGGGAAAGTTTTGATTTAATTTGATTTTTGCTCTCAGGGAAGAAAATCTAGCTAAGAGAAGTGCTCAATTATGTGTTTATGTTTTTCAAACAGGCGAAAATTCTTAGCGGTGAAAACCGGGAGTGATTTACTCTGCTTTGAAGCATTTTCTATACCTGTGCTTGTTTTGATTGGATTAAGAGATGAACAATCAAATCTGTTCGACTGGAAAAGACGGACTGAAAACTAGGCGAAATTCAAGTATTGATACATGACGCTGTAACTTATATGAAAATACATTTGCTTATTCGGTTTCTATGCCCTTCTGGTTGGCCTATAAGACTTGATGCACAAACAAACGCACGGTTATTTCTGTATCTTTTTTCACATAACAAAGACGAACTTTAACCTCTGTCGTTTCATTGAGCATGTAAAAGTTGAAAAGCGGGGAGCAAGACACGGGCAATTTGAGCGTCAGAAGTGACATTTAAATAACGTGAGTCGCATCCAGGGGCGAATTCAGTCCCTCAAAACGACAACTTTGAATCTTGAAGATTTTGTTCTTCATATCCAGTGTCCGAGCTAAACCAAATTAATCCGTTTTCCGGGAGCAAAACGCAACAGTTTGACGGAAACAAAAATTTCAGTCTCAATATTTGTTCTTAAAGCTGCTGGAAATTGTTAAAACTGGTGTGAAATATACTATGTACAGTAAATGTTAATCTCCCGAGACAACAATCGTAGTTTGCTGGCTTAGGGTGCGTCAGTACAGTGCGGCATTAAGACCGATTCCGATTCGGTTCGTCTGAGCATGTTGTGAACACAACACAATTTGCTTGCTGTTGTTGCATGTATAACCAAGGCCGATTAAAATCTCAGTGAAATCTAGGCACTTATTATAAGTCGGAAAACCAGGTGAGAAACAAAATGAAAGAGTAAACATGTTTTCTTTGACTCCAGCAGTGAGAAATAAAATGAACAATTGTTAGGTTTTCGATACCATAATTGTTGACCCGGCGAACTTGTTTTGAAGAAAATGTCCTCAAATTTGGTGCCTTATTGTCAGCAACTCCTTCATCGCAACATCTTCAAGGTTTAAATGCACTTTGATAATGGCTATTTGGGCGATATGCTGACGGATGAAAGGTGGAAACATGTAAAGCGTAACAACAGTAAATGGCCGTATCATGCTTATCGTGTTAAATATGAACGCTCGAAGTGCACTCGCGAAGAAGACCGTTTAAAATCGCCATGGGAAGTCATCTACATAATTGTTGTATGTGCAAACTTGAAAGCTATACCTTGAAACCGCAATTATTCATAGGTTGTCACATACGAACGAGTTTGTCCAGGCTAAATTAACAAACCCGAGATATGTATGCATATATGCAGATCTCGCGTCAGTCAGCAAGGATTTGACTTTTTCCCTATAATGGCGTTGTTCATGTATAACTGGCAACTCTAATATGACTAAAATGTTAAATCAATCAAGGTTTATTAAAGGTAGAAATGAAGGTTATTACAGTCTTAATAAACAAGAGGTTCAAGTGATCCTTGATCGGCTGTAGTGTAGAGAAGGTCTTAAGGTTATGTGTTCGTTGTTAAAAAAAGAAAGGTTTTTAATACCAAATCTCATTGTTTGATATTATTTAGCTTTAAGTTACAAAAACTTGAACGGGGTCATTAAACCAGTTACTCTGATTGTAGCATAGGTACCGTAATGCCACTGTAACAAGTACAGAGTCCCAAGTTAATCGCTACTCAGTTGGAAAAACAGGTTCAACGAATATCTCAACTATTTGACGCGTGTGTATTTACAGGTAACCAATGCAAAACCACTGTTACGGGGTTAAGGTTTGCGTTAAGTGCCGTTCATGAAGGGGATTAAGAGGATTATAATTAACTCCAATATACAGAGTGTGTCCCACCTGCTACTGAGGAGATACGTGGGTGATGATTATACGGGCAGCAGTAATATACGTATAATTCCAGCTCAGGTTTGATGCCACTTTGCACCAGGTTAAGAATAACGACGGTGGTGGCGATTTTAAGTCTACACAGCGGTTTGATGTGTCTTTAAATGTTCTTTAAGGATGGATTAACACGCCTCGCTGACATGGCAACGCCACGGAATGTACACGAGAAGTTGCACCTTGCGAAGTGTCTCGAATTTAAGTAGATTTTATACTTATGATTCCATCGTCTTGCAGCGGCAAAGGACTTTTAGTTAGTCAGTTACAGTGTTTACCCCAGCCCAATCTGACCACCCTGAGAATCCAAGGTTTATGAAAACTGTGCTATGATGCCAATGTGACATCAAGTTTCACAAGCGTGTATGTACTGTGGTCCTGTATATGAGGGTCACAGTTCGTGCCTTTCTACTCGGGGTGATTTTGAAACTAAATTTCTTTAATATCCCAAACTCATTATCATAGAATCCCAACTGCAGTTTAAGTGCCACCAGCCAGACTAGAAACAAGTAGGCCTAAAACGCTATAGGGGTAGTGTTCATGGATAATTGACTGAATGTGGTAACACACATGCATATATTTATTATATTATATGTGTGTTTGCGTGTTTCATATATAACAGCCTAATGTGCCTTGTTACATTTACTGTGACTGTCATACCGTGCCCGACTGTGTCTGTCACTATGATTTATGTGATGGTTTTTTTTAGAGGGAGTCGCTCAACTTGGAGAATGTGAGGATGAGAAGCGTCACGCTAATGTTGTCATTTACACCGAGTCGTGTTCTTTCTTCCCCCCCCCCCCAGCCCCCCGGGCTGAGGGGCAATTATGAATAATACCAGTCATGGTCTTGAGTCATTGGCAGGTTCTTACTTACACGTCAGTGCGTGGTGTTTTCTCCAGATGAGATATCAGCTTTGATAAGAATTGTCAAAGAAATTTTACAAACTTGGCTAAGACTAGTAATGATAACGTGGGTCCCCATGTTACCAGTATTGTTATGCTTAACAGTGTTAGATTGAGTTGGTTAAATTTAAGACGCGAAACGCGGGTTTTGGAGGTGCGATTTTCAGTGGGAAATCGTCTACTTGCAAATTTGCCATAGGACAAAAGGTGTAGCCTACCATTCCCCCTTCCACCCTGAGTGGAGTATCTTTGACACTTTATAAAATTATTCTACAGTGCAGGGCAAATATTCAGAAGTACGTCCTTCATCTGTAAAATAAATACGTCTCCCACATTTTGTGGATCTCAAGTGCTTTTAGTTTCTCGTATGTCCTTCGACGCGTCAGAAGTAGCCGTTTTCTCATTAAGTCTTTTTGTTACCTATTGTTGGACTGAATTGTCACAAAGGTGATTCGAGAGGGGACACTTAGCACCTGGATTTAAATGAAGAGGCTTTGACAAGGGACGGTCGTAGCGTTTGGTGCGAACGCCACCTTGTGTCGACCAAGATCCCTGCGACATTGAGATAACTTCACTCACCTGCGAGCGACAAAAACAAAAGCAGCTTCCCCATTCTGTGGACTGTGTATAATCCCAATATTCCCTGCCTTACTTTGAGTCAAGTTGGATTCTTCGTATTTGTGTTTCACATAGCCTCCCTGTTGAAACTTTTTTGCATGCACTTTTGAAGACGCAGTCAGTACACAGTGATGTTACGGTTCATAATATTCAGTGGTAGGTCGACGGAGATGGAGGCAGGTCACGTGACAGCCGTAAACTCTCGAAGATATTGCAGCATTGTAGCGAGAAGAAGTGGAGTAAACAAATAAACACATTTACCTTTAGGCTGGTGAAATAAACGTAATGTTTGCTTACTCGAGGAAGTGCAGTAATAATTTGGGTTCCCAAAAATCGCGACGTTCTAAATGTTAAACTTAATAGCTGCAGTGTTCTTGTATTTTTTTACAGGATAGCGAAACACGGTAACTTTACCTTGTTTGTGGCGATAATGCAGGACACGAATCTCCGATGGCCCGGGGTCTCGACCTTTTGTAGGTCGTAATTACATGTATGAAAATCAACGTTATATTGTCTCTCTATTAGACGGGTCACTACTTTGTTTATACAGCCATATCCGATACTTTATTGTGTTATTGCAGTCTTTGTGTTCGTGATATTTATACACTTTCTGTTCGTGAATGAGACTATATCGCCGGAGAAATTATGATGGAAAAATAGATGGAGAATGTAAGATAGGCTTACCATAAACATAACCTTATACAAATATGACAACATTTGTTCAATATATGAAGATGGCTTAATGGAGCAATGGAGTTTGGGGCACTTTTATGTACATGTAGTGCGTGCTTTCAAAATACAGCGAAGGTTATTATTGCACATTTACACAACGATTGTCAGGAAGATAAAAATTTGTCGTAAGACTTATTATTGCAGCCGAAATAACTATAACAATGCAAATTACACGTGGAGGATTCTTCTGTGTAAAGCTATGTTCACGGACTGTTGGTGGGAGAGAGCAATTTTATTTATAGCCCGGTAGCGCTTTCTCAACTGGCACTAGAACGTAACATTGCACAAATACAGGGTGTATTCAGTCTATGGTAATTACTAGATCTTTTCAATGGGCGAAAATGATCAGATTTTCAGATACATGATGTTATATTCACAAAAATTATATTTATGCTTTGTATTTGTAGTTATTTTACTGCATATAATAGAACTATAGAGAAATCTGCTTTTTAATTTTGTTGCAGCCGCTTGAAAAGTACGTTTTAAATTTCAGAAATTAGGACTTACCAGTATCTGTAAAATTCACAATTTTCTCCCATTAAAAAGATCGAATAAATACCGTATATATAGATATAAATTGATGTATTGAGAGATGAAGCGGAGGATTCGTTATCGCAGGGATTAGTGCTAAAATAACTATCATCAGCTGCTAGGTTATGGCGTAATACAGCAGCCATTATTCAATAAATCCGGCGACTCATGTGAATAAAATTGAATCCGAGTTGAAATAAAACGATTGGCAATACATCATACTATGACATACAAAGGAAGAAGACGTGCAGTGATAGATTAAAGATGGAACGGAATGCGGTCTCGCGTTTGAAAATATATTAGATGGACTTCGTGTGCGATCGATGTTTCCCTAAGTATTCCATATTTTATCTTTCGTGAACTCTCAAAGACGCATTTTCTTTAAAATCATAAAAGAATATGTCACACCTGTTCAAGTTTGCACTATGTGCAAATGCAAGGAATACACAAAATATTTCATCTCTCCCCCCCCCCCCCCCAATCTCTCACACACAAACATTTTTGAGGGCGACACTCGTCGATTGCCGATGATCGCTGGAAAATTGTTCATGTCGCCAGGAAAATTCGATCTTTGACACTTGACTCCAGAATCCTACGTAAGGTATCTTTAAACTGATGGAAAATTACACTTTCACACACGCACACACACACACTCACAGAGAGAGAGAGAGATAGAGAGAGAGGGAGAGAGAGAGTAATACTCATCTTATACTTTTTTTTTTACTTTGTAGAGCAATGAAGCATCGCTGAGATAGAAGCAAAGAATGGGGAAAAATAAAGGGAAATCGCAGCAGAAAGGAAAAGACAGTGTCCTGTTCAAAACTGTTGGAACTAAAATAACTAAAAACAAAAAAACGAAACCAGTCAACATAAACCTTAAAAAGGTACGTATTAGTGATTTTAGTGGAGTTGAATGATATCACTTTAAGCTACAATCAGGGTTTTCTTTTACTGTTGTGAAGTTGGTATGATGATTGAAAATGTATGCAATTATTTAACTATCGGGATTAACTTACTATGCTTCTAAATTTTATGTCTTGTTAGTTTACGAATGCTTTGTATAAAATTTGTGCGTTGTGAGCGGATATTGGGACTGGAATCGTTGCGTTAGTTGTGGTTAGAGTTAAATCCCAGGATTGCGTTTTTCAGCTAAAACACCTAACGAAATCCAAGACCGAAGAGGTTGACCAAACCTGGAAAGATGTACGAGAAATACCGAAGTCGAGCTCGTCGTCTACGACACAAAAGAAGGACGGCAAAGCTAAGGTGTGCATTTAATCCTCTTATCCTAGGCAATATATACTTTAAGCATGATAATGTAATCATACCCGGGGCTCCCTGTACACAGCATATTACATTTGTAGGATTTCTTTCGTATATATACTGATTATGGCATTTTAGTGTGGGTGAGTGGCACAAACAATGTGGGAACGCAATTGAAATTATACGTAGGTACGTTAATATATAATTATTTATATGAGAACTGTGTGAGGCAATGATTTTTATATTAAAATTACATTAAAAGGGCTTTTGCATTATCTTTTATCTATCTACAGGCATGTTTGAAAACTTCAAATGTATTTAATGTTTTCTGTGAACGCTGCTCTCAAGTTTATTTCGTTTCTTTTTAGCCCAGTACTAGGAACATTCAGCAACGGAAACCACCCCCAAATGTAGACCAGGAACTGAAGAATTTTGCGGCGCTGTGAAACTGAATTTTAACCATCCAATGTAACTTTCTATTTCGGTTTCTAAATTTCTGATTTTTGAACGAAAAAGAAAAAATAAATAAATATATAGAATGATTGGGAGATAAGCGACAGGGAAGACAATTATCTTTAAGGACATTCAGAACCGCGGACTAACAGATCCGCAGATCAAATATGGCGACCCACTTAAAAGCTTGCCGCTTAATTCCCGATTAGACACTGAGTAGATTCCCCGCGGGGATTATGCAACAAGCATTCAAGTGGTCGGCCATATTTGATCCGCGGATATGTTAGTCCGCTGTTCTAAATGCGCCCATTTACTTGCCGTAGAACGCAAAAAGGAAAAAATATAGTATGATTGGGAGATAAGTGACAGGAAAGACAATTATCTTTATGGGCCATCACGCTTCCTCAGTATTAGGTGATGTAAGTAAGATTGAAGAAAACGTGGCGAAAAGTCTAATGGGATATAAATATAGGAAAGACAACTATCCGTGTAGACTATCCTTCTTTCTAAGTATGTTATGGAAAGTCACATGGCATATATTATGGTTTGGGTGTTTTTGAAAAAGCATCTATGACCCCATTTCCAGAGATTAGATCGATCTACTTTAGATCGACCTAACTCCCTGGGGGTTCACGCTAAATAGCTGTCAGCCGAGCGGACACGAAAGTTAATTACCCCCTTACAGCTTGTAGTAGGCGGGACGGACATTTAAGCCGGATTATCTGACAGTAATCTAGTGAGACTCCCCGCGGGGATAGATCGATCTAAAAGCTCTGGGAATACAGCCTATGACACCACATCCAGTTTTGTAGTCCCAGGAAGTGTTATAATAGCAGGCCGTGGGTTTGTCACGTTACAAGTAATTGAAACAGGAAAAAAAAGCAGACAGTTTGAAAATATTCAAAATATCCGTGTCTTAATCATGTATGGAGAAAATCGTCGTGTCAGCTGCTTCGATATAAAGGCAGATCTTGGATTGTAAGGCAGGGAATGTAATTATCAACCTAAACTACAGATTTGTTTTTTGTTCTAGATATTCACATATATTTCTCGGGCCATTTTGTGCTCATAACTAAACTAGTCCAGCGAGAAGTTAAGCACAAATCCAAAAAGTCAGAGAAACCGACACATTGAGGTCCTTGCGTCAGCGTCCACCTAGCAGAGGACGTCACTTATTCTAGAGAACTAGAATCGGATATACATTTTTACCTACGTCCATCCGAACAATGAGATTAACAAAAGCTAAGCTAATAAAATCTAGCTGTAATTATCTCGACTAATTAGATCTAATATCACTCTCCAGTTCATATTTGTTTACAACACGTTCCTATAGTAACCCATTGTATTATGGATTCTTTTATTCAACTGGTAATTTGATGCATCATTTATTGACCTGTTGCCTGCGCCTTAAAATTAATTAATGTCATGTAATACCATTTGTATTCTATGGGTAACAAAATTGATCTCGTCCAAAATTAAAAAAAGGAAATGTAAAGGAAAATAATTAGACGATCATTGCTGAATCCTATGACATATACAGTAGTTAACAATCCTTCGCGTTTTAGATGGAGTATCATTAATTTCGCTTTTTGGCTTTGTTTTCTCTTACGTGTTCCAAAGAGATGTCTCTTACGTGCTGACGGCAAATCACCTGGTATTTTTGATTTTCCTGTTTATTGTCTTTGAATTGAGTACATCTAATTACGTTATGTTGGTCTTAGCTCCACCAAATATTGGACGGTTCTGTGTGGATTAATTTCAAACGCAAGCAATGTACGTATGTGTTAACATGACGGGAGTACATGTAATCATTTTACATGTGAGTCCTGATTAAAACTTTGCACGCTTAGTTGGTATTATACATATACAGAATACTGGACCTGGCTGGTTGTAATGATCAATATATCTATAGGTTACCTAAATGCAAAGTGGAAAACCGTGCTTTTTTTAGATTTCATCATTTAAAATGAGGTAGTATGTATAAAGTGGAAACTTGCATATAATAGAAGTCAGCTGTGGACTTTATTGAAAAAAGCCAAGAGAAAGAAAGAAAAAAAATGTTTAATCAATTTGCCTCAGTCCGCTCAATGCAACGAGGCATTTAATTAAGACTAGAATTAAAATGTGGATAAAATGGTCAACTATTTCAACGGGCAGGTGGCAGGAGGTGCATTTGTTGAAGCCAAGATCTAAAAAGTAATGAAAATATAAAGAAAATATATAGAAGAAAATAAATGCTCAGTGTTACAGAATATAGGTAGGCTATGAAAACTGCAACAGGGTAATGGGGATCTGTATTCAGGTTTTCTACAAAAACACGTTTATCACAAGCAGTGAAATTAATATGCGTTACATAAGACACTTATTTTTTTTCCTTCGTTGGATATCTAATAACGTAACTATGGGATACCAACCCCTTCAAGCCACTTAAGGTGTAAATCTTAACAAAAATGACTTTTTTTAAAGCAGTGACAACGATAGGGCGCAAATCTGAAAAATTCTTTGGAATTTCCTTGAATTCAGGTAGATAAGTGCAAGTCTCGGATATCCTTAAGATTTATCAGCACTGTATGTGTGTGCATGAACAGTTTGTTTAATACAAACCACGTAAAAGATAACCCCTATATTGGTCAAACGAAAAGAGGATATTGATAATACGTTTAAAAAATGCGGGCATTCCCAATAACGAGTTTGCATGGTAATGGGGGTGTTGGAAAATTGCTTTAACTTAAATTTCTGGTTTTATTACATTAAGGGAATATTTTAATAAAATTCCCAAAGTTATGACTTGTTTCCAGGAAACACTTTAAAATTCTATTTTTATATGTGTGCCGAGAGCACACCGGGTAGCATCCTGAATAGTGAACAAAGACTATATAGCATGCCCTATATGCACCTGCTGATCGCTAAAATTCCGGATGACGTATTTAATTCAGCAGGTCTCAACCAACCAATAATCCAACTCATTAGTTCTTCCTTTGTTTCAATTGTTTGTATAACTTGCATTATTTTCGAATTCTTACCAATCATATCGATTATATTGAATGACGTAATGGTCGCGAAAGCAAAAATGAGAATATTTTGAAATTGTTTTATGATGGTTAATTTACGCGCGAGACTTGTTTTGATAATACGGAGAAGCCTGAGTTAGAGTGACGCATCGGCCTAACTTAATGTAAATATAACAAGACAGCGCTGGTCGTGACTAGCATTTATCTCATATAACAAATAAAGGTAAAGTCATCTTCGACTCATTTTAAGAGGAAAACCGAACAATCCTCTCATCAACAGTTCACCAAAGACCAGTTAAAACGCACGGATAGAGTTTGAGGAGAAGTGGAACACGTTCAATTAAGAAAGGTGAGTGATAATATTGATATTGATAAAGAAAAAGCCGTCTGCTTCTGCTGGCGGCACACAGACACTGAATAATTTAACGAGATATCACTATGCCATTCAGACAACAGTGAATACGACTGACTCAAAATAATATTTTATTTGACCGGTTTGATTTCCAACGTCAAAACTACCTGGAAAACCTGTATTCACGTACATTTTAAACCGATGTATCTACCGTGTGTTGTGGGCCTACATCTAAACAAGCAATTTTTATTATGGCTGTAATGGTAGGATCACAGTGCCTTTGTTTGGGAAATAAAAAGTGCTGCGCGTTTGTATGCTAAGTCATACCATTGTTATAGTTTGGCTTTAACTGAAAAATAACGTTGGAGATGTTGCCTGGTGAATATAACTGAGAAACAATGCGGGACTTACAGTGTAGAGATCGGATCAGGTTTTTGGTTATTGAGACTTGGGAGAGGCAGCAGAACAAAAGGAGTTTTTTTCATGTATATCCGTTATTTCGATCTCTCCTCTCTTAATTGTCTACCCATAAATTTCTAATCATTTTATGAACAAAACCTAATCCTGTACAGGGAGGTTGAATGAAGTCACTGGACATAATTTGCTGAAACACTGTTTCCAGATATCAGGAGGTGTGATAATTTAACAGAGAATAAAGACATAATCATGTGTGAAGGGAGAATTAAGTGGTTTTGTATATGATCATTGTGGGAATTCATATAAATATATGCAAAACAAATTACTTTTTTCTGGGTAATTCAGCAGTGTTTTCTTTGTCACCAAGGTGATCCAGCATCTGATCCCTACAATGAGGAAATTTTGATTTCTGAATTTCTGAATATTACCATCATGAGTGAAATTCACCAGTCTGTATTTCCATTACAAGAAGGATAAAAAAAATAAAACTGAGGACCCAAAGATGGATTTATGTGAATGCATATATAATTATAGATATGGTACATAGGGAAAACATAAAGGTATCCAAAGGAGAATTTTCATGCCAAAAACTCTTATTTAACAAATTATCCTTTAATCTCCCTTTACTGACACCAGCCGTAACTCTTTTTGGAAAAAGCCAAAGATCAAAATCAGCTCTTAATTGGAGGCTTTCCAGATATGAGATTCATTCCATTGACTCGACTTCCAGATATTGCAAGACTTTCATGCAGTGAACCACGCTATTTTGAAACTGTGTTAAGATGGCTGCCTACTGAGGTTGGCAGAGGACGGTGAATATGATTAATTTTTGGTGATATTGATTAAGATTTTTATGTTTTAAGAGTGTTATAGATGCCCTCAGACAAGTTCAACATGAAGCAATCCATGCACTTAGAATGCACTTCAAATCCTACATTGGATACCTTTTAAGTGTTTTAAAAATTTATTGCTGTATAAAGGTCTAGCAATCATGTGCTTCATGCATAAATGAACCTTGATAACATGTTATGTTGGGGAGGTACTAGTAGAGAAATAGGGTCAGGGATATTGTGGGGAAATTTAAGGGGATAGTGATATTGGGGTCTGGGATTTAAAGAAGATTCATTCATTCAGTATGAAAATACAACAGATATTCCTTTATTGCCTCAGCTCAATTTAAGGGTGTATCTCAACAGCCTGAAGGTTCACTGGTTTGAAAATTCATAACATTTTCATCATTTTTTTATAAAAGGTTTCATAGGTCCAAGTGTGCACTGTAAAACCTTCAGGCTATTGTCATAGAATTAGTTACATATGAACAAAAAGAAAGAAGATAAGTAAAACTTGAGAAGATTATGATGCACCGTTAATAATAGATTGAGACAATAGGAGAGCAAACATTAGGCGCAGCTTAAAATTTATTACTTTTTATAGTAGATTTTTTTGTGGGTTGGAGGGATTGGAGGGGGAGAGTTCAGTGGAAAGAGGAAACAGCTAGTGTCTGTAAATTAAGGTGACAGATTTTTTAATAAAAATACATTAATTATCAGACAGTAAGACATTAATCCATGAATTTACAGAAGAAAAAACTTGCATAACTTAAAGTAAAAAATGTTGTGTAAGGTGTTGAATAACTGAAATAAGTGGAACAGTATATAATCACATATAGGTGACCTGGATGTACATGATGAAAATATTTTCAACAATTTCTTAGATCTGTTTTTTTAACCTGTTTTTTTTTAACTAATATTCTAGAATCATGACTCACTTTAAGAGGAAAGGTGCATCTACAGACATAATGGTGCTTACCTCTTTAATGTGGATGCTACAGTGTGGAGAAGGTGAGTCCTTTTTTCCTCTTTTTGTTAGATAGGATACCGTAATTACTCAATCTTTTCAATGGGCGAAAATTATCAAACTTTCAGGTGCATAAATTTTTAATCACAAAAATTATATTTCTATGCAGCAATTGTGTTACATTTACTGCATGGAATAGATCTAAAGACAAGCCAACATTTTAATTTTGTTGCTACCACTCGAGAATAATTTTCTAATTTAAAGAATTTATGACATAAAAAATGTTTGTAAAATTCACAATTTTTCCCCATCGAAAAGATCAAGCAGTTACCATATATTATGTGGGCTGCTGACTTGCATGAATGTCATTGCACTGTTTACAGGCATTCTAATGTTACCACTATGCAAATTATCCAATTAAACCAACCATTTCGTGATGCAAGTATGTAATGGATACACCATGAGTCAGCGAGATGTATGTGATACATGNACTCCTTGGTTTTAATAAACCCCCCAAAGTTAAAGTTATGACTTGTTTCCAGGAAACACTTTAAAATTCTATTTTTATGTGTGCCGAGAGCAGACCGGGTAGCATCCTGAATAGCGAACAAAGACTATATAGCATGCCCTATATGCACCTGCTGATCGCTAAAATTCCGGATGACGTATTTAATTCAGCAGGTCTCAACCAACCAATAATCCAATTCATTAGTTCTTCCTTTGTTTCAATTTTTTGTATAACTTGCATTATTTTCGAATTCTTACCAATCATATCGATTATATTGAATGACGTAATGGTCACGAAAGCAAAAATGAGAATATTTTGAAATTGTTTTATGATGGTTAATTTACGCGCGAGACTTGTTTTGATGATACGGAGAAGCCTGAGTTAGAGTGACGCATCGGCCTAACTTAATGTAAATATAACAAGACAGCGCTGGTCGTGACTAGCATTTATCTCATATAACAAATAAAGGTAAAGTCATCTTCGACTCATTTTAAGAGGAAAACCGAACAATCCTCTCATCAGCAGTTCATCATAGGCCATTTAAAACGCACGGATAGAGTTTGAGGAGAAGTGGAGTACATTCAATTAAGAAAGGTGAGTGCTAATATATTGATATTGATAAAGAAAAAGCGTCTGCTTCTGCTGGCGGCACACAGACACTGAATAATATAAGTATCACAATGGCATTCAGACAACAGTGAATATGGTTGACTCAAAAGAATATTTTATTTGACCGGTTGTTTTTGATTCTCAACGTCAAAACTAGCTGGAAAACCTGTATACACGTACATTTATCCGATTTATCTACTGATTTATCTAAGCAAGCAATTTTTATTCTGGCTGTAATGGTAGGATCACAATGCCTTTGTTTGGGAAATAAGAAGTGCTGCGCGTTTCAGTGTGCTAAGTCATACCATTGTTATAGTTTGGCTTTAACTGAAAAATAACGTTGGAGATGTTGTCTGGTGAATATAACTGAGAAACAATGGGGGACTTGCGTGTAGAGATCGGATCGGGTTTTTGGTTATTGAGACTTGGGAGAGGCAGCAGAACAAAAGGAGTTTTTTTTCATGTATATCCGTTATTTCGATCTTTCCTCTCTTAATTGTCTACCCATAAATTTCCAATCATTTTATGAACAAAACCTAATCCTGTACATGGAGGTTGAATGAAGTCACTGGACATAATTTGCTGAAACACTGTTTCCAGACATCAGGAGGTGTGATAATTTAACAGAGAATAAAGACATAATCATGTGTGAAGGGAGAATTAAGTGGTTATGTATATAATCATTGTGGGAATTCATATAAATATATGCAAAACAAATTACTTTTTTTCTGGGAAATTCAGCAGTGTTTTCTTTGTCACCAAGGTGATCCAGCATCTGATCCCTACAATGAGGAAATTTTGATTTCTGAATTTCTGAATATTACCATCATGAGTGAAATTCACCAGTCTGTATTTCCATTACAAGAAGGATAAAAATAAATAAAACTGAGGACCCAAAGATGGATTTATGTGAATGCATATATAATTATAGATATGGTACATAGGGAAAACATAAAGGTATCCAAAGGAGAATTTTCATGCCAAAAACTCTTATTTAACAAATTATCCTTTAATCTCCCTTTACTGACACCAGCCGTAACTCTTTTTGGAAAAAGCCAAAGATCAAAATCAGCTCTTAATTGGAGGCTTTCCAGATATGAGATTCATTCCATTGACTCGACTTCCAGATATTGCAAGACTTTCATGCAGTGAACCACGCTATTTTGAAACTGTGTTAAGATGGCTGCCTACTGAGGTTGGCAGAGGACGGTGAATATGATTAATTTTTGGTGATATTGATTAAGATTTTTATGTTTTAAGAGTGTTATAGATGCCCTCAGACAAGTTCAACATGAAGCAATCCATGCACTTAGAATGCACTTCAAATCCTACATTGGATATCTTTTAAGTGTTTTAATAATTTAGTGTTCTATAAAGGTCTAACAATCATGTGCTTCAACCTTGATAATATGTTAGGTTGGGGAGGTACTAGTAGGGAAATGGGTCAGGGATATTGTGGGGTAATGTAAGGGGGTTGGGATATTGGGGTCCGGGATTTAAAGAAGATTCATTCATTCAGTATGAAAATATACAACAGATATTCCTTTATTGCCTCAGCTCAATTTAAAGGTGTATCTCAACAGTCTGAAGGTTCACTGGTTTGAAAATTCATAACATTTTCATCATTTTTTTATAAAAGGTTTCATTGGTCCAAGTGTGCACTGTAAAACCTTCAGGCTATTGTCATAGAATAAGTTACATATGAACAAAAAGAAAGAAGATAAGTAAAACTTGAGAAGATTATGATGCACCGTTAATAATAGATTGAGACAATAGGAGAGCAAACATTAGGCGCAGCTTAAAATTTATTACTTTTTATATTAGTAGATTTTTTTGTGGGTTGGAGGGATTGGAGGGGGAGAGTTCAGTGGAGAGAGGAAACAGCTAGTGTCTGTAAATTAAGGCGACAGATTTTTTAATAAAAATACATTAATTGTCAGACAGTAAGACATTAATCCATGAATTTACAGAAGAAAAAACTTGCATAACTTAAAGTAAAAAATGTTGTGTAAGGTGTTGAATAATTGAAATAAGTGGAACAGTAATAATCACATATAGGTGACCTGGATATACATGATGAAAATATTTTCAACAATTTCTTAGATCTGTTTTTTTAACCTGTTTTTTTTAACTAATATTCTAGAATCATGACTCACTTTAAGAGGAAAGGTGCATCTACAGACATAATGGTGCTTACCTCTTTAATGTGGATGCTACAGTGTGGAGAAGGTGAGTTCTTTTTTCCTCTTTTTGTTAGACAGGATACCGTAAATACTCAATCTTTTCAATGGGCGAAAATTATCAAACTTTCAGGTGCATAAATTTTTAATCACAAAAATTATATTTCTATGCAGCAATTGTGTTACATTTACTGCATGGAATAGATCTAAAGACAAGCCAACATTTTAATTTTGTTGCTACCACTCAAGAAGAATTTTCGAATTTAAAGAATTTATGACTTAAAATATATCTGTAAAATTCACAATTTTTCCCCATCGAAAAGATCAAGCAGTTACCATATATTATGTGGGCTGCTGACTGGCGTGAATGTCATTGCACTGTTTACAGGCATTCTAATGTTACCACTATGCAAATTATCCAATTAAACCAACCATTTCGTGATGCAAGTATGTAATAGATACACCATGAGTCAGCGAGATGTATGTGATACATATACTGTGCAGTAGAGCTGTCGTGTATAATCCACCTTCTGGCAACATTTGAAATCTTTTGGTTCATTGGCTTGCAGCCTTCAACAATTGCTGTCATTGCTTGGTCTGAAGTAGACTTGACAGACATGCAAACCAGCCGTTTCCTTGTTAACCAGATTAATGTCAGTTGCATTGCAACACCACTGCCTTTCTGAATGCAATAGCCCATAATATTCAGGCCTGTAGCCAGCAATTTCAAAAGGGGGGTTCTTTTTCTGAAAAAGTGGACCTTTTCCCATAAAACCTTCATGTACCTAGAACAAATTTTACCCAGAGTGGACCTTTTCCCAGCAAAAGGGGCGGTTCTTTCGAACCCCCC